TATCAAAATTAACTGAATTGTTATCAATGAAATTATAAACACAGGAAAGTTTTAAACTACACAAGCGAATTATATAATTCAGGAAAAATTGTAAGGCTTTACACATTCATAAACATAAATACATACATACATGTGTGTATATATATATGTATGTACATGTATATCAATATGTATATGTATATCTATATGTATATATGAATAGCCCATATATTTGTAATATTTTTGTTTTTTTCTTTTTTCTATTCCATTAACTAAATAAAAAAGTAAATAGTTGGAAAACTATGTTAATCTTGCTAATCTGCATAAAACAGCAGCAATCATCATAAAAAAGTAATCTCACATTAATAAACAAGGTGTATTGATAGCAAAACATTTGGAGTTTAATCAAGCTTCAAGGTAAATTTAAGGGTAACAGCTAATATTACTGGAAGACACCTATTAAAGAATAATTAAAAATCTTCAATTTTCAGATAAAATTATTTGGATTAAATTAGATAATTTCAGGGTTTGATAGTTTTTCATATATTTTGGATAGCTTAGGTGATTGATACTAGGTATTATCTTTTTTTTACAGTAGGTCAAAGTGGTTGAAATTTACATGAAAAACCAAGCTATCAATTAAGTGCACACAATTATTATGAAATTCTAGACTTCATATATACACGTCTTAGATTTGATTTATGTAGTATTCTAAACTACTTCTAAAATGTACACATTTATAGTCCACCAAGAAATAATCTGTTCTGAGCCACTCAGGACATACAATGAACTCAGTTGTAACTCAGCAGTCTGTGCCTTAAGCTGGAAACAGAACAAAACCTCAGTAGCAACAAAAATCAGACAATATTTTAATGACTCCTTCCTATTGTTCCAAGTACATTTTCTTCATTTCCCAATGTAAAAAAATAGGTGTGGTCTATTCCATTATATCATTTATTTGTATTTTAAAATCAACACTGACTCATTTTCTGGTTTAACAAAAGGGCTCTTTCTTCCATTAACATTTTTAATTGAGTTCTAAGATAAAATAAGATACAAAATACAAAAGAAAATAAGAAAACAATGGGGATAAAATGGGGAGGGAAGTGAGGAAGGATTAAGAAAAAGAAAAACCATTGACTTCTGACTCTCTCTGTTGCAATAAAATAAGGCATTAACATCAAATCACAGCTTTTTGTTTTTTCATAATATAAAATAGCCATTTCTTTAAGGATCTATCAGTTTAATTGGTAAAACCCAAAATCAAAGTTTCATTCTTTTCCACTTCAAGCACAAATTTCAGAAGTGGTCTCCATGTGAAAACAAAAGCATTTACCAGTATATAGCTTTCTTTTATCAAAATAGTCAATCTTTCCATTTCAGCCAACTCCATAACAAAAGGGCTCTTTCAAATACACTAAAATTTAAAATAATGTTATGATTTAATTAAATATCCTACAGAACAAAATTTTAAACAGAAAAAACAATATTTTAGAAAAAAAAACAGAACAAAACTTTAAACAGAAAAAACAATATTTTAGAAAAAAAAAGAACAAAATTTTAAACAGAAAAAACAATATTTTAGAAAAAAGGTATTCTATTTTTTTAACTAAAGGTTTATTAAAGTTAAAGGCCCTGGGGGGGCCTTTCTATTGCATTACTATAGTTGTTTTTGTTGAGAATTAAAAATCCCTTCTCAAGTCCGTAAATAGTATGTGTATGGGTGTAATATATACAAAATAATAAATAGATATAAGACTCTATTATTTCAAACAACAGTAATATAAGAATTTATAATATATTATAGTTGAAGTATATTTTAAATTATTAGTAATATATATATATATATATATATATATATGTATATACAGAATATATATATACTGTATATACATATATGCATACATACATATATATAAAATACATATATAAATATATATGTGTATATATACATACATATATATATATATATATTTGTATGTATACATACATACATACATACATACATACATACATACATACATACATATATATATATATATATGAAATAAGATTCTTTCCTTTCATTTAAACTGAGGCATATATACCGTAGTTGAGTAAAAGTATTCAGCAGGTAAATCATAACTTTTAAAATAAAATAGAGTAATTGAGATAGAATAACAATATTACAAATGTGTCTGAATTTACATCTGTGAAAGAAGAACAGCCATGCAGCCGCAATAGAAATATATTTAATTAAAAGAAAAAAGAATTTCAATTGTGGGGCAACATAAAAAAGTGAGACTGTTCCTTTACCTATTCTGAATACCAATATACAAATGTGCAAAATAGTTTTGCGCAGCTTAATTTATAACATTTTTTGTAAATATTAAACATTCAATAAATTCTGGGGGGCCTTTAAGTTAGCATTGATTCTTAGTTTCCCAGTTTCTAGCTTAGTGCGCCTTAACTACAATACCAAATTGACTCTCTCAGTTACATTATTGCCCATAAAATTACTTGGTAACTGTCATCTAGGGAGATACGTACAGGCAAGACACTTTATTTTCTTTAGTAATTGTTAAAAGCTTCCAAGTGCGGTACATAAAGCTAACTACACTCAAGAGCTAACATCAGACCTTATCTTCACCGTACTTAATTTTGCAGAATAAATTATATTGATACAGTAAGATACAATTACAACAAAAATCACATACAAAAGGATCTCATTATTTTCTCCATAAAATATGGTTATTAAAATACTCAATTGCTATAGATATAGATTAGATAAACACAAAGAAGAAACCCACAAAAGGAAAGGCACATAATTATTTTGATAGAAGTTTTACTTCCTTGAAAATTTGAAGAGAGAGTAACAGAATAATACAGTTGGAAGGAACCTCGAGGGTCTTCTAGTTCAACTCTCTTCTGAAGCAGGAGACTTTATACTTTTTCAGACACATGACTATCCAATCTCTTCTTAAAAATTTCCAGCGATGGAGCACCCAAAGATTCTGAAGGTAAGGTGTTCCACTGATTAATTATTCTGTCAGGAAATTTTTCTTTAATTCTCAGTTGGATCTCTCCTTGATAAGTTTCCATCCGTTACTTCTTGTCCTGCCCTCAGGTGCTTTAAGATTGACCCCCTCTTCTCTGTGATAGCCCCTAAACCGTGATGGCGAAGTGCCACACGGAGCCATGTTGTCTGGCACACACGGCATCACCCATTCCTTTTCCAGGTTTCCGGCGCGCATGTGCACGATCAGCTGGCCTTTTTGCCTACGGCAGTGCCGGAAACTGGAAGAGCTGGTCTTCCATTTTCCTGTGTGAGCATGCACGCCGGCCAGCTAATTGTCGCATGCGCATGTGCGCCAGAAACCCGGAAACTAGCTGGCCAAACCCGAAGTTCATTTTTGGGCATGCGTATGCGGCCTGGGCAGCTCCTCTTCCAGGTTGTGGCCCAGACGAGCATGCACGTACTCACTTTTTGGCACTCGGTGCCGAAAAGGTTCACCATCACTTCCCTAAAATATTGGAAGACTGCTATCATGTCACCTCTAGTCCTTCTCTTCATTAGACTAAACATATCCAGTTCCTGCAACCATTTTTCATATGTTTTAGCTTCCAATCTCCTAATCCTCTTTGTTGCTCTTCTCTGTATTCTTTCCAAAATCTCAGTAACTTACTTGTATCATGGTACCAAAACTGGACACATCCAAATGTGGTTTTGTCAAAGCAATATAAAGCGGCACTAACACTTCATGTGTCTTGATACTAGTTCTCTGTTGATGCAGTCTAAGACTGTACTAGCTTTCTTGGCAGCTGCAGAACATTGCTGGCTCATATTTGGTTCCTCTCATAGTTACTGCTATTGAGTCAGGAACCATGTACTCTCTACCTGTGCATTTGGTTTTTCTTGCCTAAGTGTAGAACGTTTTATCACCACTGAATTGCATTTTGTTGGATAGATCCCAATGTTCAAGTCTGTCAAGATCCTTCTGGAGTGTTGTCTATTCCCTTGGGGTCATCTGCACAGCTAGTGTCACACATTTGCAAATTTGATGAGTTCCCCTTTTAGCCCCTCATCCAAATTGTTTATGAAGATATTGAAGTTTACTGGGCCTAATACAGAACCTTGATGTACTCCATTGCATGCTTTTCTTTGCTAGTCCTCTAGCTACCCCAGTGCTCTAGGATCTTTGAAAGATATGGTTCAGTAGTTCTAAGATCACATCTGCCAGCTCCTTCAGAACTCTGAGATGTAATCCATCCGATCCTCGTGATCTGAATTCATCTGGAGTAGATAAATGTTGTCTTACCATTTTCTTGCCTATTTTGACTTGATTAATATGTCTTTTACAACACTGCTTTGATAGGTTAGACTGTTTTTCCTTTTGCGTAAAGAGAGATACAAAGAATGACTTAAGCAGTTGCACTTTCTCTGTGCTACCCATCGTCATCCATTAGTGGATCAATTATTTCCTTTACATAAGTTGAATATATTTTTTTAAATTATTTTTGACATTTGTTGCAAGTCTTTGTCCATTCTCAGCCTCAGATTTCCTAATCATATATAAAATCTTTGTGCATAGTACTAATTTGTGCAGCAGTTTCTTATTTCTTTTGAGAAAAGAGATTTGTATTTTAGTAACATCTCGAGGGCTACTCTGCTGTGAACCACAGCTTACATACTAGAAGTTTTAAGTTCACACAGGACATGAAGCCCATCCAAAGAAACCACATAGTACTCTATGGTTAGTTAAACATAAATAAAATCATAAATGCAACTATTTCTAGCTAATGGTCTGCTACTCAGTTTGTCTATGTAATCAATAACATAAATGAGTGTAAACATTCTACAAGATACAGGATCATGTCCCTATGTAAAAGCTTTATTCAGTTTTGATCTCCTAACACCAATTAACATAATCTTTCTTAATTTAAAACAGAAGCAGACACTACATTAGGATAGGTGCTACACCTGCTAAGATGGAGATGTCCATATGTCTACTAAGAAATTCAGGCCTTATTGTTTCACTTACCATTCTTCCTCTCACTAAGAGGAGGAAGATTGGGGTTCCGGCCAGGATGGAAGCCTACAGTCAGCTCGGGCTGCAAGGAAAGTTCCTGCAGTTCATTGGCAACAGCTTCACTCTGTGGGCTTGGTGCAGCCGAAAGAGACATCGAGAGTGTTTCATCTTCATTCTCGCCAACCCCTCCTCCGTCCCGCCCATTTCCAGCAATGACGGAAGGGGGCAGGCACAGGACACCAGAGAAATCCACTTTGGCTTTTGTGATGACAGCCTGAAGAGGGAATAAAAATTTAGAAACTAAAAGTTAGAAACGAACACATATATATGAATTATTTGACTTTCTTAGATTTAATTTGTTCTCTATCTGCAGGTCTTTTTTTCAACTTAAGTTCAAAATAAAATTAGCTGTTCAAACAGTGTTTAATTTTTTTAATGCACGAATTAGTTATCTGCTGCAGGTCAAAACAGTTAAGAGTTATTTTCCTTCTTCTAAATCCCCTTTCAGTGAAGAAGTTACATTCACAATTCAAATCTAGTTACTACTCCAACTGAATGTAACTGCATGCTTAGTTAAAAATGTAAGAACCACACTATTAATGCTACTATTAGGATAAGATGTAAATATTGAATCTGACTGAGATTTTAAAACTGGCAAACTTTGGTCTGTCCCAATTCTAAAGCAGAAGAGTTGCAAAGTCTTTTCAATAGTTGATCTTCAGGAGGCAGCCCGAGACCCTATTTGACAACATTTGTTTCTTTTTGCTAGTATTACAGGCTCCAGCAGAGCAGAAACACAATGAGGATGTAGGCAGATCAAAGCAGTAAAGCCCTCTAAACCTGCCAGAGGAGACTAGTACCAGCTGATGGATTTCATCAGGCTGAGTTGGCCTTTATTTCTTGAGTTATTTCCAGGTGCCAAGTACAGTCCACAGTTGCGTTTCTCCAACTGGAACTCCAGATAGGGTGCATTTTTCATAAACTGACCATCTTTATACTTATTGTCAAATATTTTACCTACAAGAGTTTTATTTCCATTTTGTAGATGAGAAAACTTTCTCCCTATTTTCTCCCATTTGAAAAACACCAACCCTAATAGTGACTACTAAACTCAAAGGCACTACGATTTAGATTAATATCCTAGTATTCAGCATAAACAGCAACTAAAATAGTGTATCTTCTAAATTTCTCCCAGTATAACTGTGAGAGAAAAAGGACAGCAAGTTGTTAATTAGGATTAATAAAAAGTTATAAAGCTTTTCTTGAAAGAATGTAAGTGAGCCTTTTTATTAAAAAGCTTTCTTCCTGAAGCAGTCTCCTTCCTGAAGAAAGACATATGAGGGGGTGTGTGGGTGTGGGTGTGTACACACACATACACATACGTACATACAAACACACACAATGGAGGAAGAATTCAGACCAAGAAACAGCACTGTAAAAAACAAGGGCAAGAAAAATCCTCTGATTTTCTCTTCGCCTCATAATTACGTTATTCCCAAATTTCTTCTTTTTTCAGCAGAAAACAATGCAATGTAGGAAACATCTTCCAAAAATGAAAATTACCTTAACATGTATTAATTATTAGATAAAAACGTGTATCTGATGCATACTTTTTCAATCAATTCAACAGTACACTTTACAGTCTCATTAGTAGAAAATTACTAGATGACATTTTGGGATACATTGACCCAACAGTCACTTCTTTGTTGACAAAAAGTATGTGAATCTTCAGATTTAGAAATTAGTGGCAACTTCTTTAGCAATAGTGACATCAACCTTTATCTATTATTAATCCTACACATCAATTCAAAAGTATTTTGCCTATTACTCTTACACAATTGCTTGAACTCATTAATTCAGGCTCCCTTTCATAAGTCACTTGCTTGAAGTGACCCATGCCTCAATTAAAATCAGGGCTTACATTTCTTCCGTTTCAGTAATTCTGTTGTATATTTACTTGTGTGCTTAGGGCTGCAGTCATGCTCAATGACTCACATAAATTTAAGCTTCAACTTCTATGAACGGTATTCTTGTTCAGTGTTTTCTTAATAGTGTAATCATGAACCCTGATATCAGAATACTGTATGCAGGAGTGGCTGAAAAACCCTTTGCCACTATTCCATTAGTGGTTTTGTGAATGAGAAAAGTAACAATGGGGTTGTATTTTCCTCATTTGTACAATACCTAACTGATGGTGAACTCAGGCCAAAGGTTTTGATAATGGGCTTGGCAGCCTTTTCCAGCCTCATATATCCATTGCCAGCTTTAAAGAATATCCAATAACTGCAATTGATCTAGCTTGACTGCAATACTATTTCCAACATTGCACTGGCTCCCACTAAGATCCAACAGCATGGACATTCTCAAGGTCTTCTATTAAACAATGTCATCTAGCAGGACCTAAGAAGCATGCCTTCTCTTATGCAATGCCTGCCCTATGGAGTAGCAACCCCCTGAAATCTGAATGGCTCTGGCTTTGGTTAGCCTTCCAGAAAGCCTCGCTTTTTCCACAGGATGTTAATTGAGCCAGGCTCATTTGGGATTATGATCATATGATAACTTTCAGAGATTTTGATTAGACTGTAATTGTGCTTTTATTTTTTTATATTAACAGATTAACAGAGTTGGAAGGGATCTTGTAGGTCATCTAGTCCAACACTGCCCACCCACCCAAGTAGGAAACCCTGCCTATACCATTTCTGACAGATGGTCGTCCTGTCTCTTTTTGAAAGCTTCCAGTAATGAAGCTCCCACAACTTCTGAAGGCAAGCTGTATATATCTTATCTTTTGTTTTGTGTTTTTATCTTCTTATATTTTTTGTGAGCCTCTTAAGAATTTTTAATTGGGATTGATGTCTGTATAAAAATCAACCTGTCTCTGAGTTCTACAAATGTATCTTTTGATCAATACATGATTCACTTTTACAAATTTGTGACATGAACAGCAAACTCCAGTGATAACAATCAAAATGTATGCTCTTTTTTATGTTGATGAACCATCAAACTCACATCTAATTGTGATCTCACTTATTAGAACATTTGACTCAATTTACTCTTAAGAGGGCTGATTAATCTAGTTCTTTACATACTTTTTCTAAATAAGATGGTGAATAGGATGTCTTCATTAAAGTCATGCCACAGTAAAGGTTTCCCAAATATTGAATCTATAATGGAGATATTTGTAGCTTAGGGTTGAAATGAGGACTCCTTGATGCTCTCTGAGCTTGGTTGTTTTCTTGCAGACATTTCATTACCCAAACTAGGTAACATTATCATTGCTAGGAAGGAGTGGGTTTTGCTCTCAGTTTATATATTTATACAGTGGTTCAGTGGTTAAAGATGCCAAGCTTTTCAGCTGATAGCCCGGGTTCAAGACCCGAGGGCCATGTAACAGGGTGAGCTCCAGCTACTTGCCCCAGCTCCTGCCCATCTAGCAGTTTGAAAAGATGCAAATTTGAGTAGATAAATAGGTACCACTTCAGTGAGAAGGTAACAGTGTTCCGTGTGCCTCAGCATATAGGCGTGCTGGTCATGACCACAGAAGTGTCTTCAGACAATGCTGGCTCCCTTGGCTAAGAAACAGAGATGAGAAGCGCCCACCAGTGTTGGAAAGGACTGAACAGGGGAAACCTTTACCTTTCTAGTAATTCTACATCTTTTAATTGAACTGATTTTGTTGTACTTTATTATTATTTTGCAATTATTTGTTGGGGGAAATATGCTGACTCTGTAAACCACTTAGAGAGGGCTGTAAAGCATTGTGAAGCGGTATATAAGTCTAAGTGCTATTGCTATTGTAAGGCATCTTGAGCATTTATACAAATGCAAAATAGAGTACAGATTAATTAATATAATTATTACATATATAGCTCCATTGATAGTTGGATTAAGGAAGGGAATTTTAAACTGAAGGGGATTTCCAAGAGTTATAATATTCATCATGCCTATTTGATGAAAGCTGCTAACCTGCCAGTAAATTCAAAATGGAAATTTTAATTTGCCAAACAGGAACAATGATAGAATGCAGATTGCCTATCAATATTATGGTTGTACATAAGATAATTTAAATCTCCAACAGGCAAAATTATTTATAAAATGTCCAACGTTAGGCATTAAATAAAGATGTGTAATTCTTTTTCTATCAGATGTGTTAACAACTTTTTGCTTAAATGAAATCAAGAAGAACATTTCCTTACTTTCCATTTTCCATTCATGCTTGTTTTGTGTGTAAATGTGTACATCCTTAATTTTCATTCAATTCATTTTCAAAATGGACAAACATAATTTCTGAGGGACAAAAAATTCTGGCTACTTTTAAATCATTCTGATTACTTTTAATCCATAACTTTTAAGCCAGACACAAAATAGCCTAATAAAGCTAAACTGTTGCATTTCAGCATTAGTAATCTACAACAAGAATAGAGAAGAATAATTATCCTGCCGGTATTTCAGCCTTCATATTATTCCTAAAAGGTCCACAGAGCAACATACTTTAGAAATTTCCAATTATGTAATATGTTTACAGGTATTCCTTGACTCAATGGCTAAGATACTGAGCCTGTCAATCAGAAAGGTTGGCGGTTCAAATCCCTAGTATAGGTCTCCTGCGTGAGCAGGGGGTTGGACTAGATGACCTCCAAGATCCCTTCCAACTCTGTTACCTAACTTTCAACCATTCATTTAGTGACCATTTGAAGTTACAATGGCACTGAAAAAAAGGATTTATAACTGTTTTTCACACAACCGTTGCGGTCATGTGACCATCTCCATGATCATGTGATCAAAATGCCATTGACAACTAGCATGTATTTATGAGAGTTGCACTGTCCCAGGGTCACGTAACCAGCATTTGTAACCTTCTCAGCTGGCTTCAAACAAATAAAGTCAATGGGGAAAGCTAGATTTGTTTAACAACTGCATGGTTTGTTGGGGGCAATCACTGCCATGATTCACTTAACAACTGTGGCAAAAAAGGTGGTAAAATTGGGCATAACTCATTTAACAACTGCCTTGCTTAGCAATGGAAATTTGGTAGTAAATCTGTACTTCTTTCCCAAATTTTAAAAACTGCAGAGGAAATCAATCTGAAAAAACGCTCCGAGATTATTATAAATCAGGAGTTCTCATACTGTAGGTTACAACACCTCCTTCCCCTCCTCCCAAGCAACTTATCAGGTTGTGCAGGCAAGGCAGGTACACTTTCAAACTTGCTTTAGGCTCTGCTTCCCACTTTGTTTGCATAAGCTAACATTTTAAAGTTTTAATAGTGTTTGT